GGATTACTCATTTAGTAAGATAGTTGTACTTTAATGAATGAAAACTGGAGGAACAGTTATTTAAAAGAAAAACATGTTGATAAGTCACTAAACAATACAACCCTATTCTTTAAAACATAACATAAAAGGTTAAATCAAAAACTTAAAGAAATAATACTTCTGGAGCCAGAACATTGTAATAAACACACAAACACACAGCCTACATATAAAATAGATTGTCACATGACCATAAGATCACAAAAAACACCAAACCGTCACTATGATTGCTACATTACAGTTGTCGTTTATGAAATGTTAATAGGTAAATGAATATCCTAGACAACTGCATACTCAGCTTATTAAAAATGCTTGGATACATCTTCAATAGTATCTTTTTAAATACATATTTGTCAAATATCACGATAAACATTATTATAACAACTGCCATGGAATGTAAATATTCTGCAACTTTTATTTACAGTTGGAATTACATGTTTTTGGATTATTTTTTTATTCTTTCAAAATATTGTTTGTCCTTTATATTGATCAATAAAGAAATGTTTACTCTGACAATAGACAATAGACAAAATCTTTATTGAAATATTCCTAGAGAACATTCATGCGTCAGGTACATAAAATGTACAGTATGTACGTAAACTATTACAGTAATTTGCAATTACAATTAGAATTTTTTTTTCTTTTTCTTCTTTTTTTCATGGTAGCTTATTATTGTTTAAGAATTCATCCTCAGAGTAGAACGGCCGGTCCAAAAGCCATGTTGTCAGGTGCTTCTTGAGCAGATTGGGTTGTTCTCTCTTGAGGTACTCTGGTAGGTTGTTAAAGTACAGAGCACCTTTGTAGGATGGTTTCTTCTCGTACAGACTCAGATGGTGTTGTGGGAGAGAAAAATTGGCGGCATGTCGTGTGTTGTGCTGGTGTATGTCTCTGTGTCTTGGCTGGGCTGTTTTAGTGGTGTGGATAATGACTTCTCTTATGTAGAGTGAAATTGATGTGAGAATTTTAAGGTTCTTGAAGGCTTCTCGGCAACTGTCTCTGTAGTTCAGGTCGGCAAGGCATCTAATTGCTCTTTTTTGCTTTAGGAGTACTCTTTCCAGGTTGCCTTTTGATGTTCCACCCCAAGTCGCAATGCCATATCTGAGGTGGGACTCGAATAGAGCAAAATATGCAACTTTGGCTACTTCTGGGCTGCAAGCTTGCTTGATCCTACATATAACGTAGAGACTTGAACTTAGCTTTTTGCAGAGCTGGTCTATGTGGGGTTTCCATGATAGCTTGGAGTCAATTATGATGCCTAGGTATTTTGTGGTATTTTGTGTTTGTAGTCCCGGTATTGTAATGTCTGTGTTGTTGCGTTTGGTGGTGAAAGTCATTTGAACGGTTTTGCTTTCGTTTAGAACTAGGTCGTTGGAGGTACAGTATTGCTTTGTTCTCTGGAGTTGTGTGTTGGTTTTCTCTTCCAGATTTTCCATTGTTTTGTCCGCAAATGTGAGAACCGTGTCATCTGCGTACATGGTGGTGTGTCCATCTTCCCCAATCCAACTAGGTAGGTCATTCGTGAGAAGGAGGAAAAGGACTGGGCCAAGTACTGATCCTTTGGGTACTCCTCTTTGCACGTCTACAGCTTTGGATTGGGCCTTATACTTTTTGTTGTTCTTTATGTAGGCTATTTCCACAAGCTGTTTCCGGTTACTAATGTAGCTTTTAAACCATTCTGCTGCTCTTCCTCTCACGCCTAGTGTTTCCAGCTTGAGTAGAAGAAGTTCGTGGTTTAGGCAGTCGAAAGCTTTACTAAAATCTAGGAAGAGGCTTGTTGAAGTGCTGCCTTCTTCTAGTGGTTGGTCTAGTATGTGCTCCGTCAGTTGTATTAAGGCTGTGGCTGTCGATCTGCCTTTGATAAATCCATGCTGTTGACTATTGAGAAGGTTGTGTTCTTGAAGATGGTGTAGGAGTTGGGCTAGTACTATCTTTTCGATTATTTTTGAAAATGTTGATATTAGGGAGATTGGCCTGTAGCTGTTTCTTTCTATCGTTGGTCCATTTTTGTATTTTGGGTAGACTTTAGCTATTTTTAATTTATCTGGGAATTTTCCTTGTGAGAGTGATTTATTTATGAGGTCTGTCAGGGGTATTACTATTTCATTTTTACAGTTTTTTAGAAGTTTAGCTGATACCTCATCAGTTCCGGATGAATTTTTCATCTTTAGAGATTGAATGGCCTTTTGCACTTCTTCTTGTGTGACCCGTCTGAACTGGAGTGTGTGATGTGTTGCTGGTAAGTGGTCTGTTAAGGCATTGGTTCTAGAGTTATTGTTATTTTGGAGTGTTCGGTCGGCTATTGATGAGAAAAAATCATTAAAACAGTTTGAAACTTCTTTTGGGTCGTCTATTGTTTTATTGTTAACTTGAAGATGGATTTGGTTTTCAGTATTTGATCTCGCTTCCCTTTCTCGGTTTATTGTTTGCCACAGTGCTTTAGACTTGTTTTCAGCCTGGTTTATGTGAGCTGTGTTGTTTTCTTTCCGAAGCATTTTCAAATGCTTGTCGTACTCCCTTTTTTTAATAGTTGTTCTGGCTTTGTCTTCCATAAGTCCGGTTGTTTGCTCCTTTTCTAAGGCCTTTATATATTCATTTTTAAGTCTAGCCGATTCTTGATTCCAACACGGTCTCCTTTTATGTTGTTTAACTCTTGACGTTTTAAGAGGGTAGGCGTGGTTTAGTGTTGTCTGGATGATGTTGCTGAAATTGTTGTAGGCTTCATCTACGTCATGAGTTTGTATTATAGTTTCCCAGTCTTGTTCTTGTAGCTGTGTCTTAAAGTTATCTATTATTGTTCTGTTGAAGATTCGTTTATTTTCTTTGATGTTGTTGATGATCGGTTTTCTAGTGATGATTTTTGCGATTTGTGCGGTATGGTCAGATAGTCCTGATGTTATAACTGAGGTTTCTATTTGTTGATTATCAATGTTTGAGCATATCCAGTCTATTGATGTTTCTGAGTCATTTGTAATTTGAGTGGGAGGTAGCCTCAGTCTTGAGATATTGAAGGAGGTTAGGAGTTCTTCAATTTTGTCGTTTTCATTGTCATCAACTAGGTTGTTTACATTGATCTCTCCCATTATTAATATTTGTTTATCCGTAGTGAATACTGTTTCCAGTTGTTCAGAGAGTATATCGATGGCTTGGTCTAGGTTTGCACTTGGTGGCCTGTATACTCCGAGGACCAGCAGTGGATTCCTGTTTAGCTTCAGTTCAAAGAGCACAGTTTCGCAAATTAGTTCTGTTTCCTCGCTACTTGTGCATATGAGTGATACATGCTTTTCCCAGCCACTTCTTACATAAGCGACCACTCCTCCTTTGACATGGGATTTCCTTGAGAAGCCTCCAATAAGTGAGTAATTTTCTACCCACGTGTTTTGCAAGTTTTGTTGTGCTACGCCGTGCTCTGATGAAATACGTTAAGAATGTTATGATACACATCTGAAAAAAATTGGTGTTATTGTTTTAGATAGGCCTATAGTAGATAATTGCCTCATACGTGATTGTTTTCCAATGATTAACTGATTACAAACAATTTAAATTGGTGGAAACTTTGAAACGCTCTTCTGTAAAATGTTGGGTTTTGTTGAGATGAGCCGTTTTATTTGTGAATGAGAAGTTTTGTAAACATTTTATGAAAATAATTTTAAATGCCTAATGTTATAAGACAACATTACTATAGTTCGTCCGCTTAGAAAGCGACCTCCTCCAGCATTGGTTTAGCATTAGCGCGCAGGTTGTTTTCTAAGCGGCCGAATTATAGTTTTGCAATCAAAGATGCTTATTTTTGAAGGCGGAGTTAACATATGCAATAAAATGCCTATTAAATAAAACAGAGGTCGTCCAGTGGTCGAAAACTCGACCAAAAATATTGAATGTACAGACTTCTCTATTTTCATCCCACGCTGTATATAAAACATGCGATTAGAATTTATTCCATTAGTTTTGATTATCTGTTTATAATTTGTTGTTATTTCATAACCAGCATGGCAACCCATAAGGCCCATGTTAATTTTTTTTAATTCATTTTTTGTGCTTATTTTTCAGCCTATTTTAATTTATAAAGGGGTTCTGCACATCTGCAGGCAAATATATTTCTTACAGTATGCGTAGATTTTCCCTGCAATGCACACGAGCTGAGAAAAAAAGTTTTAAAGAAACATGCTTGCCTATTTATATATGGATGCAATAATAAACCCACACGACAGTGTACTGTAACGTGTTCCTGCGCCATAACGCGGTCAGTTTAGACGGTTTAGTCCCCGTCCTAGCTAGATGGATAATAAAAAATTGAAACTGCTAAAATGTCTTATGTCATCATATCTTCCCTGCTCGGTCTTAGCAGACTACCGTTATTGGGGAAATTTAAACCTATTATTGATCTTTACTGGTTGTGCCTGAACGAAGTTATATACATGTATATATATGTATTGTATGGTAAACCTTATCGGATAAAAATATAGCGTATTTGAAAATAAAAAAGTGAATAGTTAATCCTAAATTGATTGAAAATGTTCTTTACTAACGACCCCTTGAGTGAAATAAACACAGGTTGAGTTTAGGTGAGCGAAATACAGCGGTTCTTCAGCCGCTGATCCGCACATCTACGATAATGCAATAGGTACAGTTCAAGAGACTAGTTCCCAATGTCGACTTTAGAGGGAGCACCGTACTAGGCGCGAGTTTCGGGCAGGGAATCACCCGTATGGCTGCCCCTCTGTTATGTATTATTATTACTCGGAGGTATTGACAATAGATTTTTCAGTTATCGGTAGGCTATGGAGTATTGATAAATTTTAGTATCGACTTTTCTCTAGTTTTTAGGTAAGGTAACATTTTAAACTGATTCCGAACCTGATATTTCCTGTTTACTTGTGTTGAATTTTGTGTGGAAATGGTACATTTCTTGAAAAATCTTTTCAGCAACATCCAGAGCATGTTGGTAAGCCTGTGACTGATTACAGATGTGATGGAGAGTAGCAGTGTTCCCAACATAAACCGCAACTTGACGAAAGACACATCTTTGAGAAAAAGCACTAGAGGCACCAGTGTTACCAGGACTACCCAAGCATCTAGGTAAGTAAATAACTTGTTGATTAGTATTACACAAGTTGGTGCTATTGTATGGATTTGATTAAAACATCTTCTAGTCTTACTAATACTGCAAATGTATACACTTCAGTACGTATGTCGTCGTCCTCCAAACTTTGCGATTTAACTTTTAGTGATATCACAGACAATGTTAGTAATCCAACATAATTTGAACTTGTCTTCTCAACAAACTTAACAAAACTGAATTACATTTTTAAACAGTTTAAAGTCATGACTTGAAAATAAACTGGTAATAAAAACTAGTCTCAAATAAATTGGTAATAAAAACCAGTCACAGCAATAGTATATTTCGTACCTAGGGCCGAAAATGAGGTTTTGCTGGCTCGAGAAAGTTTTTAAGTTCGAGACGAAGTCGAGAACTTAAATCGATCGAGAGCTGCAAAACCATTTCGGCCCGTGGTACGAACGCTATTTTTCACCACACTATACCCTATTCCCACTATTCACCACAATGATAAAGCACACTGATAGTCAACACAACTACAACTATAAGGTTATGTGAAGAAATAATTTGAGGCATCAGCAAAAATAATAATAAATAGTTGCTAGGCAACCGGTGATAATAAAACAATTCTATGGTTACTGCCTGTGTATTTAATATGCGTTAAAGTTTTAAGAAAGTAAGTGGACAGCCAGCTGATTTTGCGGCCCCGGGATGTAAAAACCTGTTCAGTCCCCAAATTACGATGATAGCTGGCATGGCCAGCAAAACGTAACTTTCAGCCACCAATTAACGTATGTAATACAGCCAAAAACATCATAGTGTGGTGAAAAAGTTATTACATAATAGCTATTGGAGTTTAGAAATAATAACCGCTTGGCAGTAAACAATGTTAACACGATGACTGCTGAAAACAACGTACAGGCGCTCCCCAGTGGCGGGCAAAGCCGCAACCGAATCAGCGAACGCAATTGGCATTCAAATATTTCAGTCTGACGAACCACAAAAGAGCAGTGGTGACTGTGCTGCATTACCCCGAGAGTGGATGTAGTTCACTGAAACACCCAAAGGAAGCAGCACTGCACGGATCCGTATCCAGTGTCTTTGTAATGTGGGTTGAAGAGAAAAAATCCCCGAAACCGGGACAAAAGCATTGCCAGACAGGATTTTACGGGAAATTTTAGTACCGACCTACACCAAAGTAAAGCTCGCATTCTAAGCTGGCAGGCTGGCAACGATTATAACGTCTCCGTCTGAGGCTAAGCTCACTCTGACTCAATATATTTCTGTTGGTCTGGTGCCGACTTTTGTCGGCGCGCGCCACATTGAAGTGCTAGCGATGCCGACTAGAGTCGGCGTTAGCAGTCAACGTGTTGAATTGGTTGTCGATTTTGACTACACCAATCATAGCCAAACCATATCAGAAACTGAAACAATGACAATGGCTCTGCTAATACTATTGGTCACAGAAAGTTTGTAAAAACTAATTATGTCGTGAATCGAATTCAACTTGGTAATTTATTAATCTATCTTTTAATAAATAATTTTTACTTGGGTACTAAGTTTATTATTGATGTTTAATCTTCATTTATATATAGTAGCCCTATTATTCTATTTTCTTTATCTATCTTTATATTGACATTTTCTTCATAAATAAACATTTCTTTCAAGCATTTATTTAATTCTCCATAATATCTACGTTTTTGTATCTCTGTTGATAGATGTATTTTTATTTTTTTTCATAATGTACATTGTGACATATCTTAAACATCCTTGTTCTACTTAGGAGACCCCTTTTGTCTTAATAATGAACTTGTAGCGTGTTATTTTTGTCTGTCTGTTTAATCCAGTGTGGCAAAAGGATTTTTTTGTATGTGTCTACTGGTTTTGTGTGAATTTTAACTTAAATTATGTAGCCTACTACTATTAGAACAAGAGGTTCTACCCGTGAATTCACAGGTGTACAGAAGCCACCGTTAAATTAATTTAATCAACTTTGACTTTCCCTATTTCATTTAAGAAAGAAGTTCGAGAAATTGTCATCAACAAGGATGTTAAAAGCAGTGGAACCTTCATACCTTACGTCCTAAGGTGGCCGAGGTGGGTGCGGTTGTACCTGAACTCGCCGCTCTCTTTCACGACGTCTTTAATAGGCTACTTTAAAACTTTACTTTAATACTTTTCAATGAACTGGCGACCTATTAAAGATCCGTGACAACCTCTTAGAACAAACAACATTGCATTGACCAGCTGTTGTTCACTAAATTAATCGAATAACGTTAACTTCCAAAACATGCAAGGCGTAGCCCTTTGGAAATTAGCCTGTGGGGCGGATCCCTTTGGGAGTTTGTCCATATCAATACTTTTCGGCAAATCTACACACTCTAAGCTTCATTTTGATATGCCATATGCCTATATTTTCATTTGGTAAATGGCCTTAATTGTTTATATAAAATTTGATCGTATCACTTTAATAATATAATAGATTTAATTTCTTTGCTGGTGCTTTATAATATTGTTGATTGTGTGCTGAATGTTTAAATTCCCTCATTAATTACCATTTAATCAGTTAATAAACCATTTAGTGGTCATTCTAGCTGTACTTTAATATAACTTTTTAAATAATTTTATTGGTATGCTTATGATTATATTATGTTTCTACTGTATTGTAAATCTTACCAGTGTTCAAGATTTTAAAATTTACCATTCATTCTTTAGGTTTCAAAATATATGTTTATGGCCTTTAACTAGTTGGCATATTAAAAAAACCTTTACATTTAAATGTTTCTAACAAAGAAGTGATGGTGTTGCCAGGCATTCCAAGACCCCTCACCCCAATTCCTCTCCCAAACTTAATCCTGAAGTCGTGAATGAACAAGTCCCTGAGATGACAATAACAGGCTATGGAAGTCCAGACGAGGCTAACTTAAACCTAAGAGAAGACAGTGATTCTGCAGACCTTCAAGTGATAAGTACCTATGAAATTGATATATCTGGTAATATTGTAGCATCAGTGACTCCACATTCTGCAAAAGAGAAAGTAGAAGATTGCCTGGATAATTTTCCTTGTGAAGGATTTCCTTCAAAAGATTTGGTTGATGAAAAATCACCCGGTCGTAGAGAAGAGTGTTCAGTTGACCTGAACAGAACATACTCTATGGAGGATTTGCAAGAACTTCTGGAATGCAGTGGTGTAATTCAACACCCTCGTAAGAGGAAAACACCAAAAGTGATGAAAAGTCGTTCTCTATCTGATGTAAAAGTTGAACCGTGGAAACTTGAGGTAGTGAGTTCAGTTAGTCAAGAGGAATATTGTGATGATTATTCAATTGATAGTTTTTCTTTTTTAGAACCTTTGGATGACCCAAAAAATATCTTTGTAGATCAAAAAAGTCAAGTACCTTTAATAGAAGTTGAGTCACATTCAGAACAGGATATTAACATTCTAAATGAACATGAATCAAATTCCTTTGAAACTAATGAACCACAAAGAGCTAACAAATTGGGCAATCAGGAAGGCTTTACGAAAGAAAGTAATCTTGAATTGGTTGAAGAAGATAAATACTCGAGTAATCAGTCAAAAATGTTGGATAAAACAGATACGAATGAAGATAATATGCCTTCATTAAATAGTACACAATCCAAGCAAAAGATATGTAAAACAAGTAACAGAAAATTGTGTTTAAATGAAATTACTGATGAAAACCAGATGGGAAATATTGAAAAGTTAGCAACTATTAAAGAAAATAAATTATCTCTGATTGAACTTTCCTGTACAAATACTAATATTCAAGATTTTTCTTATCATAATTATTCAAATATGATTACTAAATATTTAAACAAAATTTCTTCTAGTATCAAGTTAAAGCAAATAAGTAAATCGGAGGATAGTTTAGTTTTTGTGTTTAACAGTGGTGCAGGAGAAATGAGTATACTTGATAAAAGAAGGATGGTGAGAGGAAGTAAAAGTTTACCTCAGCTGCTAGGGATGATAACAAAAAACCAAGAAATTAATGATGAATTTTCTCCCATACCTGCCAAAGAAAGCAAGAATAATGTGGAAAAAGAGAAAGTTACTGATTCTTTTTTGTGTGAATATGATACTGATAGTGAATTATACCCCGACTATTATGACACAAGTAATATGGGTTCTGAAGATTTGTGCCTTAAAACATCTAAAGGAAACATTCATAGTCCTGGAATCACTGATCCTTTTAGCTGTCATGATAATGCTAAATGTCTTCCCAGCATTAAAAAAACTTCAATAATGAAGAATAATGGAGAAAATGACAAGCCTTTGCCAAGCCATTGTAAAAGTATGGAAGGAACTGAATTTTTAGAAAGTCCAAGTGAATTGAATTTGGATTCGCTCAATGTAAACCATGCACAATATTCTAGTGAACACAGTTTGATCTCATCAACGTCAAAAGACAGTTTGGATAGTGAGCAAAAAAAATGTTTTGGTAAACAGCCATTAGCAAAGATTGTAAACTCAGGCTTGAATTGTAGAATGTCTGCAGTTAGCAGACAATTTCATACATCTACCAGGTGTGTGTATGTGGAATTCTCCCATTTTATTATTTATAAGTGTAATCAACAATCGTTTTCAGTCAGTTTTATAGTAAAGAACTCTTCAATTTGATTAAACGTTATGTACCAGGCAGTTTGCTGTAAATTTCTAATATTTATAGCTACAGTCTATTTGTTGGTTTTTCCCTGAGGACAGTGAAATCTCTCAACTGTCTACTCTACCTCTTTGATTAATTAATGTAGCTTGGGAATAATAAAGAGGTTAACTTCATCAAAAGGTTTATTTGTAGAATCCTCCTTTTTGCATTATTTCCTGTGTTTGTAATGTTTAATTTGTTATTTATTTTCATAATTTAAGTGTCATAAAACTGCTAAGTAGCTGATATTACTAAAATATTGACATTACACAGGTTTTATTGTTAATTGTGTATTGTTAAATTAGTGATGGGCTGATTCCTGAATTGGTCGATTCCGATGCCGATTTCGATTCTAC